ACCGCTCGCACCTCGCCGTCTTCGGCGTGTACTACCCGCGCGTCTTCAAGAACTGGCGCGCGCCCAGCCGCACCACGCGCGCGCCAGCCGAGTCTCTCTGCCCGCTCTGCCCGGCACACCGCCGCCGCCTCGCCGCCGCCTCTTGCCACCACGCTACCGCGACTGCCACCCGCACCGCCTCGCCACACCTCGAGCCCTCCACCCTCGCCCTCCGCCCTCAGGTATGTCGACGACTGGATCACAAAGGTGTACCAGCCGGGCCGCTCGACCAAGCTGCCCAACTGGACGGTGCGCCACCACATCGGCACGCGCGGCACGCGCTACCTAACCCCAACCCTAACCCATGTCCTAACCCTAGGTGCGCCACCACGTCGGCACGTACGGCACGCGCTACCGCATCGCCTACGAGCAGCAGGCAGCGCCGCCTTCGCCCCGCCAGAGCGCGAGCCCGACCCCAAAGCACTCTCCCACTCTCAGCCCTGCCGCTCCTTCCTGCCGCTCCTTGGCCTATCCCCGCCCCTCCTCGGCAGGGCGTCCTCGCCGCCGAGCTCGCCAGCGGCCAAGCCAAGCTCCGCGCGTACCTCGCAGCCAACGGCGGCGGCGGCGGTGCGGTCGCTCGCTCGCTCGCCGCCGTCGCCGACGCGGAGGCGGTCGCGCCGGCGGCGGGCGAGCCGGCGGCGCCGTCGACAGCCGAGTGCACCGCGATGCGGGAGACGCACGGCGTCGTGATCGGGCAGTCGTGGGGGTCGCTGCCCGTCTCCCTGCAGCGCAGGTGGGCGCAGCTGGACTGCGACGCGCAGCTCAGCAGCGGACCCAAACCGCGGCAGCAGCCCGCCGCGGACGGCGGCGGCGAGAGCGGCGGTGGCGGGGCGAGCGGCGGTGGCGGCGCGTTGGACGCGCTGGCGGCGCAGCTGCCGGAGGAGCCGCCGCTGCCCGCGGCGAAGCTGGACGTGGACGCGCGCGTTGGACGTGGACGCGCAGAAGAGGAGCTTATTGCGAAGATGGACGCCGCCGGCCAGCGCGAGACGCGCCTCGTCTCCGCGCCCCTCTTCCGGCAGCAGCTGAGGGCCGTGGCGGGAGGCAGCAGCGCGGCGCCGGAGGCGGTCGGCGCGCTGCTCAGGCGGCCGGCGGTGGACGCGGCAGACGTGCAGCTCGCGACGTTTTCGTGCACGGGCAACGGTCGCTTCATGCGCGTCGAGCCGGGCGCGCCCGCGGGGCATGAGCGGTGGGTAGGCTGCTCGGGCGAGGCGGGCGTCGCCGCGCTGACCGACGGGCTGTTCGAGCGGCGGCCGCTGACCGGCTCGCGCTTCGCGCTGCTCCACGTCGCGAGCCAGCGCTACCTGCAGGTGGTGCCGCGCCGGCACAAGGTAGCGTGGGTGGTTCGAGTGCAGCGCAGGCAGCCCGGCGAGACCGAGGCCTTCGAGTGGCGGAGCGGCGGCGGCGGCGGCGGCGGCGCGGCGGGCGGCGCGGACGCGGAGGATGGCTTCCTGTACAACGTGGCGTGCGGCTGCCACGTCAACTTGCGCTTTGGCACGGTGCTGCGCGGGCACGCGGAAAGGGGGCAGCCCGCGGGCGCCGTGCCGACGGCGCGGATGCGGCAGCGGCGGTACACTGTACAGGGCGTGCGCGCTGCGCTCGCCGCCGATTCGTCGCGGCTGGCGACGGGGAGGCTGCCGCTGATGCAGCAGGTGGTGCGCATCCACACGCTCGCCGCGTCCAACGAGAAGCGAGTCGTGTCCTTCGGGCTGTACGGCGGCGACCCGCGGTACGCGACGGGCGTGCTGCGCAACGCGCAGCTCGCGCCGCTCGTCTTCCCGGGCTGGACGGTCCGCGTGTACCTTGACGGCACCGTGCCAAAGCACGTGCAGCGGCTGCTGCGGCATTACGGCGCCGAGATGGTGGACATGGACCGCCCTCCGGCCGAGCTGGCGAGCGCGACGGGCGGCCAGATCGGCGGCATGTTCTGGCGCTTCCTCGTCGCGGCGGACAGGAGCGTCGACCGGTTCATCGTGCGCGACTCGGACTCGCGGCTCAACCCGAGAGAGAGGCGCCCTCCGCCTCACCTCCCCTCCCCCGCATCTCCACCCCACATCGTCTCGCCTCATCTCCCCGCATCTCCATCCCCCCCCCCTCTCTCGCGCCCCCGCCGCATCTCCACCCCGCGACTCGCCACGTCCCTCCGCCACGTCCCTCCGCCCCCCTTCGCTCGGCAGGCTCGCGGTGGAGGAGTGGATCGCCTCGGGCGAGCTCGTGCACACGATCCGCGACCACCCAAACCACGACCGACCGCTCAACGGCGGCATGTGGGGCGGCACGCGCAACGCCGTGCCCGACATGGCAGCGCTCGTCGCCAGCTGGCCGACACGCGACAAGTACATGGCCGACCTTTACTTTCTCGAGCAGCGCGTGTGGCCGCGCGTGAAGCACTCGCAGCTGGCGCACGACGCGTACACGTGCCACAAGCACCCCAACTCGAAGCCCTTCCCCACGAAGCGGCCGGCAGACTTCCAGCACGTCGGACAAGTGTTTTTCGGCGACGGGACGCCGCGGCAGGGCGACATCGACGACTTCATGCTGCGCATCACCGCGCCGCCACCGTGTAGGCGGCAGCCCGACTGGATACACGGCTGACACAGACTGGTCGTGACTGCTGATGGTCCGGGTCGGAGTGTCCGGGCTACACAGCTCCTTTTGCGAGTCGTGCCCCCAGAGACAAGAGACTGAGTGCCCCCAGTCGTTACAGAGACAAGACATCTCAGACTGTGCATGACGTATTACATGCACATGTACATGTGTGCGGCGTGCGTGACAACCCGCGCTGCCCGCGTCTCTCCCCTGTCGGGACTCTCGTCTCCTCTCTCTCCAGTGTAGTCCAGACTTCACGACACCAGACGACTCCACGCGAGCTTCCCGCCCCCCCCTGCTCCCGCCTCCCCGGCGCCCCAGCCCTCCACCGCGCGAGACCTCCATCCTCCGTGCTCCCCGACGGGCGCGGCGGCCGGGGCGCCGTATCAGGTATCACTCAGACTCACCCCGCGATCTCCACGCCACGCACGCCACAGGGCTCGGGCGCCATTTGCATTACACCGCATGAACGGGCAACGGGGTCGGCGTCGTGTGTTTACTATACCTCGCTGCTACACACACCTCCCCAAAGCTGTGCCAGTGGCACTCGCAGTGGCGGAGAACAAAAGCACAAAATTACGGCCGCGTAGGGGTACGGGGCCGTGCTGAGTGCTGTCTCCTTGTACGTACTTTTTTTTGGGCCAGGTACCAATTTTGTCGAATTTATTTCAAAATCTGCAGGCGCGGAGCGCCTGCGAAAATTTTGAAGAAATTTGCAGTCGGGCCTGATTTTCATCAAGATCTTTCAAATTTGCGGTGTGGAGTTGGGGGGTGTGGGTTAGGTTAGGGTTATTAGGGTTAGAGGGTTAGGGTTAGGGTTATAGGGTTAGGGTTAGGGTCAGGGTTAGTCTGGTTGTGTCTGTATATGCCAGCGTTGCAGGGTTCTGCGCTGGGATCTGGCCGCACAGCGCCGACGACTAAGACTCAGCCCCACACGCTGACCTACGGCTTTAGGGTTGGGGTTTAGGGTTAGGGTTAGGGTTAGGGTTAGTCTTCTTGCTTGTGTTTGTATGCCAGCGTTGCAGAGTTCTGCGCTGGGATCTGGCCCCAGCGCCGACGAGTAAGACTCAGCACCGCTCGCTGACCCCACCAAATGCCGCCTCAGGGCGCCAGGCCGCCAGCCACTTCTTACACGCGGCCGGCGCCCTCTCGCGGCAAAAGGGTCGAGCGAGCGGGCAGAGTCGCGATGTCTGCGCACCCGCGTGCCGATGGGCGACACACGCAACCGAGAGAGGCCCTGTCGCGCCGCCAGTAGCGTTCTCCGCACTCCCCACGCCACCAATTGCCGCCTCAGGGCGCCAGCCACCTCTTACACGCGGCCGGCGCCCTCTCGCGGCAAAAGGGTCGAGCGAGCGGGCAGAGTCGCGCGATGTCTGCGCACCCGCGTGCCGATGGGCGGCACACGCAATCGAGAGAGGCCCTGTCACGCCGCCAGTAGCGTTCCGCACTCCCCACGCCACCAATTTCCGCCTCAGGGCGCCAGCCACCTCTTGCACGCGGCCGGCGCCCTCTCGCGGCAAAAGGGTCGAGCGAGCGGGCAGAGTCGCGATGTCCCTGCGCACCCGCGTGTTCGCCGCCTATATGCTCTATCCTGTGCCAAGACGGACACATTTTGACAATCAAAATCTACCTCAAAATTTGCGGCCGCCCCTCGAAATTTGCTGATCAAAATTTGCGGTGGCCCGGATCGAAACCTGTACTTTGGCCAAACTTTTTTCCTCTAGCGTACTCGAGTACTGGGGAGAAAAGGGAGAGGGGGGTGTGCTCTCTCTCTTTTGTAACGCGCTGCGCTCAATATACAATAATACAAACACGCGCGCTCTGTGACATGCATGTGTGCGCGCGCAGACCGCGGCATCGACCCGCAGAGGCCAGAGCAGGACCAGACACAGACACAGAGTGAGCCCAGTCCCCAGTGACCAGAGCGAGTCCAGACAGGCCGTCCACGACGCGCACATGGGAGAGCGAGGGAGCCGAGAACGCGATAGTACGCGCGGCCACCGCCACGGCCAAAGGGGAGAGAAGAGAGTACGAGCGGCCACTGCGGTGGCCAACTAGAGTGGGGAGCGAATGCACGCCCCCGCCCGTGGCCAGAGAGGGGGGGGGGGTCCGAAGGAGCGGGAGTCGACCGCGATGTGGCGCGCTGTGCACAGACAGACGGTCAGACACATAGCGTCCACACATGGGGGAGAGGGGGGAGGGGCAGCGCGCGCACCTCCCCACTCTGCGTGGGCGCGCGAGAGACGGCGCTCTCAGCGCCTGTCTCAAGCATCAGCGTCCCCCCCACCCCCCACCCCCCCCACCCTGATTTCCACCCTGCCATTCACCCGCGCACTCACTCAGCACGCGACGCGCATACCCGAGAGTCGGAAAACTCACTGGATCATGTAGACGCTGCCGACGTTGGCGCCGCCCAGTTGATAGGTGGTGCCGTCGTGTTCTAGATAGGGCGAGTTGTTGCAGTGGACCTGGTTGGCCGAGCAATCCTCTGTGTGGGGGGTCAGAAAGTCCGAGCTGACCGAATACAATGAGGACGATCTGTAGCACTGGCAAAGCGTTAACCCCTGCATAGGGCACTCCATGCCGAAGAAGTCGCCCACCACGTATCCTGCGGCTTTGCATTTATCGTTGCACGCACCGAAGGTGGCTGCGTAGCCCTGGGACGCCGTACCGACGTCGCCAACGCGGGAGCCGGTGCTCCAAAAGTTGCAGCCCTCCGAGTTTTTGCAGCATCCGTACTGCACGAAGGGCGCCCGCCTGCAGATGCGATAGCCACGCGAGCCAGTCACGGCCGGGTTGGTGCCAAAGTGCACGTTGCCGTTGCCGGTGCCACCGCTCCAATAGCCAGACCCCTCAAAGCAAAATGGAACGTGGTCGGCCCACGTGCCGCTGTTGTACCAGCGCCTCACCTGGCCCTGGCTAACCAGATACGTGGTGGCTGCGCCGGCACACTCGGCTTGGTCCGTCACCTGAACCGAGCCGCTCGGGCACGCCGCGCCCTCCGTGTCCAACTGGAAGTAGTGCGCCGGCTTGCAGATGCGGTAGCCACGCGAGCCAGTCACGGCCGGGTTGGTGCCAAAGTGGACGTTGCCGTTGTTCTTGGCACTAGTATAGAACGTTGCAAAGCAGAATGGAACGTGGTCGGCCCACGTGCCGATGCCTTGCCAGCGCTTCAACATTCCCTGGCGAATCACATACGTGGTGGCTGCGCCGGCACACTCGGCTTGGTCCGTCACCTGAACCGAGCCGCTCGGGCACGCCGCGCCCTCCGTGTCCACCTGGAAGTAGGGCTCGTGCCCTGGCCAACCGAGGCACGAGCCGCCCGACCAAGCGCTACTGTGGCTGTCAGCCCAGTATAGAACATATTTTGCAAAGCAGCGGCATCGCGGAGAATTGTAACGCTTGTCGTGCGTAAAGTAAGGATGGCCCGCGTTGTAACATTCCTTCGCACACTGGTCCGGACTTGCGGCGCCTGCCACGGATGGATAGTTGGCAGTCCTCCAATCGAGCTCCAACCCGGACACCCAGGGGAGAACAGCATCTACCACGGCACAGCTGGGGGCAATGCACGCTTTGCCCGCGATAGACGGGAGCCGCCAGGCGGGAGACTTAAATGTGGACCAGGTTGTAAAGCAGCGGCATCGCATACTACCGTCAGGGCCACCCCGATCGTAGGTAAAGAAATCAACATTGTAATTGTCTTTATCTCTCTTGATCTGGCACCCGTATGAACAAGCGACCGCGCTGGTTAAAGCTGCACCACCGGCGTTGACCGCGTTGTTTTGCCCGTTGTTAAGCCGGAAATCGACCTCAGCATCCATTTCAAGGGGGGTGCAAGAGGGAACCAAGGGGAATTCCGTCCACGACGTCTGGCTCCCGTGATGTACACCTATGTTGGGCTTCGCAATGAACTTCCTCTGGGCCCCGCCCGATGCTGCGTCAAACGAGATCTTCTCGACGTGGGCCATCCGGAGCATGTACCTTCCGTAGGGGTGCTCCGCGCCCTGCCCTGGGTCGTCAGAAGGGCCGAGGTAGCTGTCCCACGATACACCGGACGGGCACACCGACAGCGTGCCGGCCGCTTCAAACGTCAAGCAGCCCACACAGAGGTCGAGCAGACTCGCGCTCGTGCCCATTTCCCACCCGACGCGCAGGCTAATCTGAGGGTACGGCGCGTAGAGCCAGAAGCCAATGGCGGCATACCCGTTGGCGGTCGAGCCCGATGAGACGGGAACGGCGACCTGGCTGTCAGAGTACTCGACGTACGGCGTCAGGCTCGTGTGCAGACGCTGGCACTGGAAGGAGGGGGCCGCGTTGACGCCGGTGGTGACGCAGGCCGAGGCATCGGAGCCGCCCATGACCTCCCACCTCGCGGCTGCCTCTCCATACAGAGTGATTGCCGCGGCGATGTGGGCGGACAGCCGCAGCTCGATCTCCACCCTGCAGCCAACTTTGGCAGAGAGTGAGGCCGCGACCCCGCCCGACACCGAATACTCCAGCTCTGAGTTGTCGACAGTCGTCAGCTGCCTGCTATCGATGCTTGGTGTCAGCTGGCTCTGGTCTAGTCCCTGCTGGTCCGTGTTGACCTCCCACTCCCTGTCGTACTTGACGAGCAAGTTTGCCGTACCAGCGGCTTCGAAGGTCGCGCGTACTGCGAGCGGTAGCCGCAACCTGACGCGGGCGTCGAGTGCGAAGGTCAGGAGCACGCCGACCGGAGAAACAGGCATGATTTTCCTAAATGCGAGGTCGACCGGCTTGCCCAACTCCTCAAGGAGGTCAATCTCCCTCGCCTCGTCGAACGCGGCCGCCGCTTCTGCCTGAATCTCGATGCTCGCCTCGATTGAGAAGGCGAGTCTGAGCTTTCCCAGCGAGGGCGTCAGTTGCGTGTCTTGGCTGCACTGGCACGTCTTGTGAACGCCAGGCACAGGGTCGCGGCCAAAGCTGAAAGCTTGGCACGCAAGGTTGTCCGAGCCGGGCTTGGTGACCCACTTCGAGCCGGAGCCAAAGCGTACCGTGCCGAAGCACGAGCAGAACTCACGTTCGTGGGCACAGTGAGACCAGGAGCCTGCCAGGCGGCGTCCACTGGCCTCATGCTCCGCGACTAGCCGGCGGCGGGACGCCTCCTCCTGCTCCTCGACAAGCCGCTTTGCGACGGCATCGACGATCCGATCCCGGGTCATGTCGAGAGCCGCCGCAGTCGCATGAGCAACCACCCGCTGAGAGAAGGAGTCGCTCGTTCCATTTCGCTTCGCCGCGTGCAGCGCAGCAGTGAGTCGGCGGTGGCCGCCGCTCACTTGCTCCACAGCTGCGCCGGCAATGTCGCGAATGACGGAGTGCTTGACCGGCGCTGCATTGAGCTGCCGCCGGCAAGTCGAGGTGAGGAATTCGCTAGCAGGCCCTTTTATGTTCGTCTCTGCCCATTCCCGGGCCATATTCGTGAGGAAATCGGCGAGCCCATCGCAATCGACTCGCGCGTCCTTCACCTGGGCGCAAGCTTTGAGCGTAGCCTTGCCGCTCACCGTCAGCTGCGCGGCGTCGCCCTGTGACATCGAGAAGAGTTCGACCATCTCGCCATCCGACGGGTTGAGCGCGTCTGGGAAGCACTGCCCGGAAGGCTCGACGCACAATTTGCCTATCTTCTGCAATGCGTCCGCCACGGGTGTCGCAATATTGCTGCAGAGAAAGTTGCCGAGGGGATTGATGATGTGATCGAGAACGGCGTCGACAACGGTGTCGACGATCTCTGCCGCAACCTCTCCCAGCTGACAGGCGAACCATTCCGCGCCCTCCTCGATCAGGTCCTGGATTTTGCTGACGACGCCGGCAAGCTCGTCGCTCAAGTCCTCAAACTTGCCTTTCATGGTGTTGCCCAGCTTTTTGAAGGCGTTTCCGATTTTTTTGAAAAACAGCCGCCGTCCATGAGAGAGCTGACGGCGCGTTTCGTTTGTTCCCGAGACCACCTCGGAGCTGATGTTGACGAGCTCGTCAAACAGGCCCCGGCCTCTGTAGCCCAGCTCATTCACGGCGAAGGTGATGGCGTCGCTTGCGGTGCCGTTGGCGATAAGGCCCGACCTTGGCGTCGCCAGGAGCCACTTGACCGTGCTCGTGTCGCCTGAGTTGAGCGGGATGAGCGACGCAATCTTCTCGTCCTCGAGGCCCTCCACGTACAGCGCAACCGCAATCACGCCTGGGAAGGCCTCGTCCGTCGTGGTGAGGAGAACCATCTTGATGAACCTGGGAGGGAGGCTTCTGGCTGGGGACGGGGCGCAGGCAGGGGCGGGGCGGGGGGGCGGGGGGTGGCAGCTGGGCCGGGCGCGTAGGCGAGAGGCGCGGCGAGCGCACATGGAGTACTCCGCCAGGTTGCTCTGGGGGTCCTCCACGAGCACCCACTTTGCGCCCTCGGTCGAAGGCAGATTGGGAATGACGGCGGCAACGTGGAGGTTGCGCGTCATGTACCCTTTGATGCTGAATGAAAGCGACTGCCCATCCGATGGCCGGGTAAAGTAGATCTGATTGAGTGCCCCAAGATGCCGGCCAGTGTACGCCAGGATCATCCTCGCCGTGACATCGCTCGGGGACTCGAAGACGTACTCGGCGACCTCCGTCTTGACGGTCTGCCCGTTTGGCGAGGTGATGTGATTGTCGCCATTCGTGGTGGCAAAGGTCTTGACCGCCGCGCCGCCAGCGTCGACGAGAACGCCGAAGCTGTCGGTCGCCGCCGCCGTCGCTACTGCGCCACCGTTGGCGTCGACGAGCACGTTCGTCGTCGCGTTCGGGTCGCCGTGCCACACCACTGTGGCCGCCTCGTCCGACTCGACATCGGGGTCAACAAGGGGCGCGAGAGCAAACTCGGCGCTGCCGGTTTTGAGCACCTCGCCGTTGTCGGCGGAGACCAAGAAGTTGTTGGTCGTGACCCTGGTGTCCTTTGCCAGGAAGGCCGCGGTCAGCGACGAGGCGAACGTGGTGCCAAAGAGCAGCACGAGGAGCAGCACCGCCACGAAGAACGCCTTCTTGTGGCCGCAGTAGTCAGGCACGGCGACACGTCGTTCATTGCCTGGCCGCAGTACTCAGGCACGGCGACACGTCGGTCATTGCCTGGCCGCAGTAGTCAGGCACGGCGACACGTCGGTCATTGCCTGGCCGCAGTAGTCAGGCACGGCGACACGTCGGTCATTGCCTGGCCGCAGTAGTCAGGCACGGCGACACGTCGGTCATTGCCTGGCCGCAGTAGTCAGGCACGGCGACACGTCGGTCATTGCCTGGCCGCAGTAGTCAGGCACGGCGACACGTCGGTCATTGCCTGGCCGCAGTAGTCAGGCACGGCGACACGTCGGTCATTGCCTGGCCGCAGTAGTCAGGCACGACGACACGTCGGTCATTGCCTGGCCGCAGTAGTCAGGCACGGCGACACGTCGGTCATCGCCTGGCCGCAGTAGTCAGGCACGGCGACACGTCGGTCATTGCCTGGCCGCAGTAGTCAGGCACGGCGACACGTCGGTCATCGCCTGGCCGCAGTAGTCAGGCACGGCGACACGTCGGTCATCGCCTGGCCGCAGTAGTCAGGCACGGCGACACGTCGGTCATCGCCTGGCCGCAGTAGTCAGGCACGGCGACACGTCGGTCATTGCCTGGCCGCAGTAGTCAGGCACGCACGGCGACACGTCGGTCATTGCCTGGCCGCAGTAGTGAGGCACGGCGACACGTCGGTCATTGCCTGGCCGCAGTAGTCAGGCACGGCGACACGTCGGTCATTGCCTGGCCGCAGTAGTCAGGCACGCACGGCGACACGTCGGTCATTGCCTGGCCGCAGTAGTCAGGCACGGCGACACGTCGGTCATCGCCTGGCCGCAGTAGTCAGGCACGGCGACACGTCGGTCATTGCCTGGCCGCAGTAGTCAGGCGCGGCGACACGTCGGTCATTGCCTGGCCGCAGTAGTCAGGCACGCACGGCGACACGTCGGTCATTGCCTGGCCGCAGTACTCAGGCACGCACGGCGACACGTCGGTCATTGCCTGGCCGCAGTACTCAGGCGCGGCGACACGTCGGTCATTGCCTGGCCGCAGTACTCAGGCACGGCGACACGTCGGTCATCGCCTGGCCGCAGTAGTCAGGCACGGCGACACGTCGGTCATTGCCTGGCCGCAGTAGTCAGGCGCGGCGACACGTCGGTCATTGCCTGGCCGCAGTAGTCAGGCGCGGCGACACGTCGGTCATTGCCTGGCCGCAGTAGTCAGGCACGGCGACACGTCGGTCATTGCCTGGCCGGAGTAGTCAGGCACGGCGACACGTCGGTCATTGCCTGGCCGCAGTAGTCAGGCGCGGCGACACGTCGGTCATTGCCTGGCCGCAGTAGTCAGGCACGCACGGCGACACGTCGGTCATTGCCTGGCCGCAGTAGTCAGGCACGGCGACACGTCGGTCATCGCCTGGCCGCAGTAGTCAGGCACGGCGACACGTCGGTCATTGCCTGGCCGCAGTAGTCAGGCACGCACGGCGACACGTCGGTCATCGCCTGGCCGCAGTAGTCAGGCACGGCGACACGTCGGTCATCGCCTGGCCGCAGTAGTCAGGCACGGCGACACGTCGGTCATTGCCTGGCCGCAGTAGTCAGGCACACACGGCGACACGTCGGTCATCGCCTGGCCGCAGTAGTCAGGCACGCACGGCGACACGTCGGTCATCGCCTGGCCGCAGTAGTCAGGCACGGCGACACGTCGGTCATTGCCTGGCCGCAGTACTCAGGCACGCACGGCGACACGTCGGTCATTGCCTGGCCGCAGTAGTCAGGCACGGCGACACGTCGGTCATTGCCTGGCCGCAGTAGTCAGGCACGGCGACACGTCGGTCATTGCCTGGCCGCAGTAGTCAGGCACGGCGACACGTCGGTCATTGCCTGGCCGCAGTAGTCAGGCACGCACGGCGACACGTCGGTCATTGCCTGGCCGCAGTAGTCAGGTTGCCTGGCCGCAGTAGTCAGGCACGGCGACACGTCGGTCATCGCCTGGCCGCAGTACTCAGGCACGCACGGCGACACGTCGGTCATTGCCTGGCCGCAGTAGTCAGGCACGCACGGCGACACGTCGGTCATTGCCTGGCCGCAGTAGTCAGGCAGGCACGGCGACACGTCGGTCATTGCCTGGCCGCAGTAGTCAGGCACGGCGACACGTCGGTCATCGCCTGGCCGCAGTAGTCAGGCACGGCGACACGTCGGTCATTGCCTGGCCGCAGTAGTCAGGCACGGCGACACGTCGGTCAGTAGTCAGGCACGGCGACACGTCGGTCATCGCCTGGCCGCAGTAGTCAGGCACGGCGACACGTCGGTCATTGCCTGGCCGCAGTAGTCAGGCACGGCGACACGTCGGTCATTGCCTGGCCGCAGTAGTCAGGCACGGCGACACGTCGGTCATCGCCTGGCCGCAGTAGTCACGCACGGCGACACGTCGGTCATTGCCTGGCCGCAGTAGTCAGGCACGGCGACACGTCGGTCATTGCCTAGCCGCAGTAGTCAGGCACGGCGACACATCGGTCATTGCCTGGCCGCAGTAGTCAGTCACGGCGACACGTCGGTCATTGCCTGGCCGCAGTAGTCAGGCACGGCGACACGTCGGTCATCGCCTGGCCGCAGTAGTCAGGCACGCACGGCGACACGTCGGTCATTGCCTAGCCGCAGTAGTCAGGCACGGCGACACGTCGGTCATCGCCTGGCCGCAGTAGTCAGTCACGGCGACACGTCGGTCATTGCCTGGCCGCAGTAGTCAGGCACGGCGACACGTCGGTCATCGCCTGGCCGCAGTAGTCAGGCACGCACGGCGACACGTCGGTCATTGCCTGGCCGCAGTAGTCAGGCACGGCGACACGTCGGTCATCGCCTGGCCGCAGTAGTCAGGCACGGCGACACATCGGTCATTGCCTGGCCGCAGTAGTCAGGCACGGCGACACGTCGGTCATTGCCTGGCCGCAGTAGTCAGGCACGCACGGCGACACGTCGGTCATTGCCTGGCCGCAGTAGTCAGGCACGGCGACACGTCGTTCATTGCCTGGCCGCAGTACTCAGGCACGGCGACACATCGGTCATTGCCTGGCCGCAGTAGTCAGGCACGGCGACACGTCGGTCATTGCCTGGCCGCAGTAGTCAGGCACGCACGGCGACACGTCGGTCATTGCCTGGCCGCAGTACTCAGGCACGGCGACACGTCGGTCATTGTCTGGCCGCAGTAGTCAGTCACGGCGACACGTCGGTCATCGCCTGGCCGCAGTAGTCAGTCACGGCGACACGTCGGTCATCGCCTGGCCGCAGTAGTCAGTCACGGCGACACGTCGGTCATTGCCTGGCCGCAGTAGTCAGGCACGGCGACACGTCGGTCATTGCCTGGCCGCGGTAGTCAGGCACGCACGGCGACACGTCGGTCATTGCCTGGCCGCAGTAGTCAGGCACTACGACACGTCGGTCATCGCCTGGCCGCAGTAGTCAGGCACGCACGGCGACACGTCGGTCATTGCCTGGCCGCAGTAGTCAGGCAGGCACGGCGACACGTCGGTCATTGCCTGGCCGCAGTAGTCAGGCACGGCGACACATCGTTCATTGCCTGGCCGCAGTAGTCAGGCACGCACGGCGACACGTCGGTCATTGCCTGGCCGCAGTAGTCAGGCACGGCGACACATCGGTCATTGCCTGGCCGCAGTACTCAGGCACGGCGACACGTCGGTCATTGCCTGGCCGCAGTAGTCAGGCACGGCGACACGTCGGTCATTGCCTGGCCGCAGTAGTCAGGCACGGCGACACGTCGTTCATTGCCTGGCCGCAGTAGTCAGGCACGCACGGCGACACGTCGGTCATTGCCTGGCCGCAGTAGTCAGGCACGGCGACACGTCGGTCATTGCCTGGCCGCAGTAGTCACGCACGGCGACGCATCGTTCATTGCCTAACGGGGCGCGCGGAAGGGATGATGGCGGCGCGGTCCTCCCGGCCGCGGGAGGGGCGGTTGCGAGCGGAGCTCCGGTGGCGAGGAGGAGGCGGACTGTGCCAGAGGGAGAGAAGGGGCGCGGGAAGGACTACTGGCCTGCACGAGCGCCGTGATGCCGATCAGGCGAGCCTCTGCTGGTCGAGATGCCTGGCAAAGATGCCAGTCAGGGGGCGGTAGGACGCTCGCGAACGAAGGGCTGATAGACGAAACTGACGGCAGAGAAGGCGGTGTGGCAGAGGAGGAGACGGGCATGGGGCGGCGGCGGTCCCTAAAGGGCGGCGGCGGCGGCGGAGGGCGGCGGCGGTAAGGGCTGCGGAGGCCGCGGTACGAGCGGCGGGAGGGCGCGGGCGGCGGCGTCCAGCTGCAGCGGTGGCGGTGAGGAGGGATGGGGGAGGGCGGCGGCGGCGAGGGCGGCGGCGAGGGCGGCGGCGAGGGCGGCGGCGGCGGCGGTGGCGGCGGTGGCGGCGGTGGCGGCGGTGGCGGCGGCGTCGATGGAGGCGGCGGCGTAGGCGGCTAGGCTGGCGGTTCGGCGGAGGGCGGCGCCACTGGCGCCACCCCGGTGTCCGTGCACTCGCAGATCGCGTCGCTCGACTCCAATCGAGTGGTGCACTCCATCGAGTAACCGACGAGGCACGAGTCCCCAAGCTCATCCCAGGCGCCGGTGCAGGTCCGCCCGATCGACGCGCAGTAGCCATCGCACGTGCCGTACGTCGTCTCGAAGTTGCCGACGAGCACCTTGCATACGTCACACACGAGGTCGACGTCCGGCCAGCTCTGCTTGTCGCATGCACCTGGTGGCAGCGGCGACGGCGGGCCGGACGGCGGCGGCGGAGAGGGCGGCGGCGGCGAAGGCGACGGAGGCGGCGGCGACGGCGAGGCGGAGGGCAGCGGTGGCGACGGCGATGCTGAGGGCGGCGGCGGGGACGGCTGTGCGGATGGAGGCGGTGGCGACGGCGAGGCGGAACGAGGCGGCGGCGACGGCGAGGCGGAGGGCGGCGGCGGCGACGGCGACGCGGACGGAGGCGGCGGCGACGGCGATGCTGAGGGTGGTGGGGGCGAGGGCGGAGGCGGCGAGGGCGGAGGCGGCGAGGGCGGCGGCGGCGAGGGCGGCGGCGGCGAGGGCGGCGGCGGCGAGCGAGGAGGGGGCGAGGGCGGCGCAGGCGACGGGGGAGGCGGCGATGGCGGTGGAGGCGACGGAGGAGGGGGCGAGGGCGGCGGCGGTGAGGGAGGCGGCGGGGGAGGGCGGCGGCGGCGAGGGCGGCGGTGGGGAGGGAGGTGGGGGCGAGGGCGGCGGCGGTGACGGCGGCGGCGGCGGCGGCGGCGACGACGGCGAGCCGGACGGCGGCGGCGCAGGCAAGGCGGAGGGAGGCGGCGGTTTAGGCGGCGAGGCTGGCGGTTCGGCGGAGGGCGGCGCCACTGGCGCCACCCCGGTGTCCGTGCACTCGCAGATCGCGTCGCTCGACTCCAATCGAGTGGTGCGGTCCATCGAGTAACCGACGAGGCACGAGTCCCCAAGCTCATCCCAGGCGCCGGTGCAGGTCCGCCCGATCGACGCGCAGTAGCCATCGCACGTGCCGTACGTCGTCTCGAAGTTGCCGACGAGCACCTTGCATACGTCACACACGAGGTCGACGTCCGGCCAGCTCTGCTCGTCGCATGCACCTGGTGGCAGCGGCGGCGGCGACGGCGGGCCGGACGGCGGCGGCGGAGAGAGCGGCGGCGGCGACGGCGACGGAGGCGGCGGCGACTGCGAGGCGGAGGGAGGCGGCGGCGGCGGCGACGGCGATGCTGAGGGCGGCGGCGGCGACGGCGAGGCGGATGGAGGCGGCGGCGACCGCGAGGCGGACGGCGAGCGGACGGTCAGTGAGAGCGCGCCTGCTCGCGCCCCTTCTCGCACTCGCTGAGCTCCGTCGACTTGGCCATGGCAGCTCCCGGCCCAGCCGGCGCGCCGACTGCGCGCGAACAGGTGACGCGCGGTGTCGGAGTGGCGAGACGCAAGGCGCTTAGCGTCGGGGAGGGGCGATGCGGGCGCGTGGGGCTTGGGGGAGGGCGAGGGGGTACGCCTGCTACTCGCGAAAGAAGGAGAGGCCGCGCGCATGCTCTGGAGACGCGCCGTCGGAGTGAGCCTGGCGGGGTTGAGCTGGGCCTCTGCCGCTGCGTGAGGCATGCCGGCGCTGCATCTTCATGCTGCACGCGATTCCGAAGCAGGCTGCGCGCATTGGGTCGGCGAGAGGCAGGGGTGATGGGGTGCGGCGGGAGTGCGCTGGAGGGAGGCGGGAAGGCGAGGCGCTGGCACAGAGGGCGTGCGCGTGCTGCGCGCCTGCTCGAGGCCAGGTCGCTGTCGGCATGACGGCCCGGGCTCTGCCCCTCCCGTGAAGAGCCCGACGGCCCTCTCGAGTAGGATGCCCTCGCCGAGCGGGGGCAGATGCCCCCCGGCCCAGGTCACTCCCCGCCGTCCTCGCCAAGCATCGCCAGCGGCTGCGCAGAGGTGGGAGAGGGAGAGAGGAGCCGCGGTGGGTTGGGCGATAGACGGGGCGCGGGGCGAGGATGGCGGCGGCCCTCCCGGCCGCGCGTGGGGCGGCGGAGGTCTGGTGGCAAGGGGAGGCGGGCTGTGCAAGAGAGAGAGGAGGGGGCGGGGGGAGGACTATTGGCCTGCACGAGCGACGTGCGCAGCCACCGCAGAAGAAGAGCCGGCCGTCAACCTGGGTTCGGGTACCGTGGGGTAGGGGAGGGTGGGTTCGGGTACCGTGGGGTAGGGGAGGGTGGGTTCGGGTACCGTGGGGTAGGGGAGGGTGGGTTCGGGTACCGTGGGGGAGGGGAGGGTGGGTTCGGGTACCGTGGGGTAGGGGAGGGTGGGTTCGGGTACCGTGGGGTAGGGGAGGGTGGGTTCGGGTACCGTGGGGTAGGGGAGGGTGGGTTCGGGTACCGTGGGGTAGGGGAGGGTGGGTTAGGGTACCGTGGGGTAGGGGAGGGTGGGTTCGGGTACCGTGGGGTAGGGGATGGTGGGTTCGGGTACCGTGGGGTAGGGGAGGGTGGGTTCGGGTACCGTGGGGTAGGGGAGGGTGGGTTAGGGTACTGTGGGGTAGGGGAGGGTGGTCGGCGTCAACCTCGACGCTGGTGTGGCCGAAGCGGGCGCACGGCGCCTGGGAGGGCAGGGAGAGGAAATGTCTCGGAAATGTCTCGGAAATGTCACGGCCCGGCGCCTGGGAGGGCAGGCGAGCGAGGCGGCGGCTGGGCGCCGCTCCCTTCTACAGTGTCGGAAGTGTCTCTCAAGTGTCTCGGAAGTGTCTCTGAAGCGTCTCGGAGTGTCTCTGAAGCGTCTTTAAAGCGTCTCTGAAGTGACTGAAGTGTCTCTGAAGTGTCTCTGAAGCGTCTCTGAAGCGTCTCTGAAGCGTCTCTGAAGTGTCTCTGAAGTGTCTCTGAAGTGTCGCTAAGGCGTCTCTGGGTGGGCCCGAAGGAACGCCTGCCAAGTATCACGGAGCCCCTTCGAGTTGGATGTGCCAAGGATGCAGAAGAAGGTGCGCGGCCGACGAGGGGGGGGGGGGGCAGGGGCTGTGGGAAGGCGAGGCGCTGGCACTGCTATCGTGTGCGTGCCGCGCGCCTGCTCGAGCCAGGTCGTCGACGGCACGCCCCAGGTTCTCAGCCCCAACGACGGCGCTCTTGAGCAGCGCGGGGTTGCCCGAGCAGGCAAGGGGATGCCCTCCCAGATGCCCTCGTCGAGCGCGCAGTGGCCTGCATCACGGACGTGGAAGCTGGGCACCGGAACATTTGTGGGGCGACGCACTCACCGCTCGCGCGCCAAGTTCTCTCTCGGGCTGATGAGAAGCGAGTTGACGCGAACGAGCATTCCGGGCGATGAAAAGCGGTCGCGAAGTCGTCGACTCGGGCGGCGCGAAGCCGCATGTAGATTTTGCCAGATGCCGCCGTTGATCTCTGGGGTGTGACTCTGGGCGGGCTGGGCTTGTGTCGAGGGTCTGTGCGTGTCTGTTGGGAACTAGCTTGGGTTTCGAGCTGCTTGCCTGCTTGTGCACCCCTCGCCGCGGTGTGTTGGCGGTCCAAGCGCCGAAGTGGGACCTTTCGTGGACACGAAGGGGTGCAACACACTCAATCTCCGACCATCTCGAAAAGTGGGTGATTTGAGAGAGAGAGATTTTTAGCCGCCGGGTCCTTCGCCATCCTCACTTCGGGCTCCACTGTGTGGGCAAATTGCTCCGCGTTTACCAACCGTTTATGGTGGTTTATGGTTTGTTTGCGGGGGGGGGGGGGGGGACCGCTTTGGGCGGCACAATGATGTTTATGGAGGTTTAAAGTTTGCGGGGGGGGGACAGCTCTGCGCGGTCGAATTCGATTTTCGGGGGTTTACGACGGTTTGGGGGATCCTGCCGACGCGCTACAGTGTTAACCCCACTGCACATAAGATGGACACCTCAACGGGAGGGCCCTCGCAGCAGCCGGGGCCGCCGCCTGCAGCCTTAGTCTTTCTCCCTCCTCTCAGACGTTTCACCTATAGAGCGAGTGGCCGACGCGCCCCAAGCCTACCCTCGACCGGGTGGGGCTCGCACGATTAGGATGAGGTTGCCAGAGGCCCAGGAGAGAGGACTCAGAGAGCACCTGACAGGGCCTGACAGCCAGGGCTCAGGCCTGCGGTTGACCGCGGGTGCCCACTTTTTTGTTTTTCTCCTCGGCCGGCACACAGGTACTCTCTCTCTCTCTCTGTGTGTGTGTAGACAACATGAGGCATTCGACTGCGGCCTTAAAGGTCCCACTGCACAAGCCGGCACGACACCAGGGGCCATGTGCGAGATGTGCACACCGCCAGCGCAAGAACACGCGCGAACGCCGCGCCCACACACAGCCCCCGGCTCGCCAGCTCCAGACACAGAGTTGTGGGCCGCCCGCCGACCGCATGAACAGACGCGCACCCACGTACATTTCGCGTGCGCCGCAACGGCACACGAGTCGCCGCCGCGCCGCCCGCTCGGTGAACCATGCTCCCAGATGCTGCGGGGGCCCCCCCTTTGCGGCGTCAGCAACCCTCGCGGCCGGCGACTCCCGCCCCTCCCTCCTCCGCCTCTCGGCTGCCGGCCGGCTATCAACGGCCGCGGCCGTCGCGCAATGTAGCGCTGGGCCTCCTCGGGCACCTCCTCAGGGCAGCGCGGCGGCCGCCCCCCTCGCCTGCGGCCGCGCCTACAGGGCAAGCTCCCAAAAGGGGCTCTCGGGGCAGGCCCCAGTGCTGCACGACCCGGTGCCTGCGGCCGCGCCGACGGCTGCAGCGCGCCGAGCGAGGCCAGCTTCTCGAAGAGTGCGCGCGCGCGCGGCCGAGGCACATCGCACGCAAGGTCGGCACCTGCAGCGGAGGGAGAAGGCTCGGGGCTCCGGGCTCGGGGGGGGGGGGGGGGGGGGGTTGTGCAGGGCCTTCCCCTTGGCCGCACGCGAGGCGGTCGGCGTGTGTTGATCTCGAGGACGCAGATCCAGACTGCATCTCGGCTGCATCTCGGCTGCATCTCGGCTGCATCTCGGCGCTATGGCTCGCCGACGCGCGTGTTGATCTCGAAGATGCAGATCTCGCCCGTCGTCTTTCGGACCTGCTCTCGGCCGGGGGGGCGGGAGTCAGCGGACGTGACACAGCGGGGTCTCCCCTCCGGAGGCGGGGTCCTTGTAGTTGAAGTTGCAGATGCCCGAGAAGCCGGGGAGGAAGGACTCCATCACGGCGAGGAAGCGCGGAGGCACGCTCCCTTGACTCGAGCGCGAGAGCTCCTGCGGCGGTGGACAGAGGTCTGGTCAGGTCGGGGGGAGATGTCGGGAGATGTCGGGAGATGTCGGGGGATGTCGGGAGATGTCGGGAGATGTCGGGGGATGCCGGGAGAGCGCCTCGACGTTCGGCCAGACGTACTCGGGGCGGTCGTACTCGTACGCAGTCTCGATGTTGTCGAGCAGCTTGCCGTCGTCGACGAGGAGCGAGACGGAGTACTCGACCTGGCCGGGGATGAGCTCTTGCAACAGCCACTCGTCGTCGAGGCCGCCCGGCACTATCTCGAGCGCCTGTGCGGCACGAAAGAGAGGCGGCGGTGCGGGGTGGCGGCGGTGCGGGGTGGCGGCGGTGCGGGGTGGCGGCGGTGCGGGGTGGCGGCGGTGCGGGGTGGCGGCGGTGCGGGGTGGCGGCGGTGCGGGGTGGCGGCGGTGAGGGTGTGGCTGCCGCGAGGGCTGCAGTGTGCGGGGGTGAGAGGTTGTGGGGGCCGTCGCCTCCTCGGGAGAGTGGACGATGTGGACGTTGCTGCCGTGGTTGCCTGGGAGGGGCGGAGGACCGGATGCCAAAGGGGGCCGCCAGAGGGCTGCGGCTCGGCGCGGTGAGGGGGTGGTGAGGGGGTGGTCCTGGGGTGGTGAGGGGGTGGTGAGGGGGTGGCCCCGGGGTGGTGAGGGGGTGGTGAGGGGGTGGTGAGGGGGTGGTGCGAGGTTGGGCGGCGCCTTCCGCCCCCTTGAGCACGGCGGGGTAGGCTGCGCCCTGCAGCGCGGGGTAGTGCGCCGGCAAGTGCTTGAGCAGCCCGAGCTCCTCGGCGTGCCTGCGCCGCGGGGAGAGGGGAGAGGAGGGGAGTGGAAGAGGGGGGTGAGGGCGGGAGGGGGGTTGGGGGGGGGAGCGGGCCGCCGCCGCTAGCCGCGCTAGCCGCGCTAGCCGCGCTAGCCGCGCTAGCCGCTCACTCGCGCAGCCGCTGCTTGTTTGAGAGGCGCGAGACGAGAGCAGCGTCGCATGTGAGGGTCCGCCTGCCGGGCGGTGCGGGGAGGCGAAGAGGAGGGCTTCGAGGCGCGCGTCGGGGCGGCGACAGCGAGGTCGAGGGACGCGACGGGAGCGAGGGTGGGGGAGGAGGGCGGGCGGGAGGGCGGAGGTGCGCGCGAGGGGAGGGGAAGAGGCGCGCGCGCCAGCCGGCCGCGGCGAGCTGCGGCTGGATCTCTGCGATGCGGACCTGGGGCGCGGGGCGGAGGAGGGGAGGCGCTGCGCGAGGTATGTGTTGGAGCGGGCGGGCGACCGGCCATCGAGGGCCGGCAGTGCGGCGGTGTACTGAGGGACGCGCGAGCAGCGCGAGGCGGGAAGCGCACCGCCATCTCGTCGGATGAAGGCAGCAGCCAGCAGGGGCAGGGCGCGACGGGCGGCGGAAGCTCGCCATTGTACTTGAGCGTGTTTAGCGCCGAGCAGCCCATCTTCCACAGGAAGCGGTGCCACCCGTTTGGTGGCACGATGTGGAAGCGCGCAGTCTCAAAGCTGTAGCTGTCGCCGTGCGCCGGGCCGGCGACGTAGCGCTGCACCGCGGCGCGCTCGCGCGAGGAGCGGCGGACGGAGGACCGGTTCTCGCCCTCGGAGGATCCGCTCGGCGGCTCTGAGCGAGAGCGCTTGCTGGGCATGTGCGCGCACTGATCGATCGGCCGGTGGTGGAGGTGAGGCGCGAACACCCTTTTCTTTTTATTTTCGTTTGGAAGGGCGAAGGACTCTCGTAGGGTCCCCATATGCACGAGCAGAAGTGAAGGCAGGGGGATCGAAAACCCCCGCTTGGCACCTCCTCTCTGGACAGGGTGGCGCGCCACAACGACCCCTGGAATTGCGACTCGCCTCTGTCTATTCTGATTTTTTGTGAGCGCCGCTCCCCTCCTGGCTTGCGGGTCTTTTCGTTCGCGAACGCAGAGAGAGTTGTTTGTCGAGTTGTGCTTGTGGCGGTCGCCGCGGGATGTACGTATATTCGGCCCAGGGGGCCCGGTAAGCGGTATCGGTACGGCCCCGCGGGTGTGAAGCGGTACGCGGTACGCGGTCCGTCCGGGATCGCCGGTGGCGGTACTCTGGAGTACTGGCTTTACTTGCTCGTTCTCTTTCGCCCGCCGGGCGCGTCGTCCCGCAGAGCGCTTCGCTCGCTCCGCTCGCGTCTAGCTATATCCCTATCAGCCGGCGCGGATGCAACAGAGTGGTGGCAACTCGTCGTCGGGGGCCGGCGGCTCGTCTCGCAGTCGCAGCCGCAGCCGCGACCGGCGCAGCCGCAGCTTCGACAGCCATGGTGAGCGCGGCCAAAGCCGGGCGTCCCACATTGTCCAGCGCGACGACCGGCGCGACGACCGGCGCGACGACCGGCGCGACGACCGGCGCGACAACCGGCGGCATCGAGGCGGGGACAGGCGGCGCAGCCGCAGCCGTGACCGGCGCGATGACCGGCGGCGCAGCCGCAGCCGCAGCCGCTCCCGGCGCGACGATCGGCGGCAGCACAGCTACAGCCACAGCCGTGGCCGCAGAAGCAGCCGCAGCCGCAGCCGCGACCGGGGCGGACGCGACGTCCGCCGCCGCCCGTCCGAGGCCGCGAGCCCTCCGATCGAGGACGAAGCAGTCCTAAAGATCAAGTTGGTGCCGGGCGACAGTATGACCACAAAGGCCTTCCGCGGCGCGGAAGGCGCCAGTCTCGAGCCCGTCGGCGGCGACGTGCGCGTGACGCGCTGCCTCATCTCGCGGCGGAACAACGGCGCCGTCTGGAATATCATGTCCTTGTCCGCCTTCGTGTCCGAGAAGCTGAACCTCTCGCTCGGCTCGTCAGTGCTACTCCGCATTGACGGTGATGACGGGCTTGAGCTCATGAGCAATGACGTTGTGCGGATCTGGTTGCGCGACTTCCCCACGCTCGACGCCCTCGAGGCGTACGAGGTGAGATCGGGAGCCACCTCTGAGATCTTCACCGGCAACGGCCGCGTCGCCGTCTCGGCGGGGGCTGCTTCCGTGGCGAGGGCGCTGGCGGCGGCGGCGGCGCCGAAGGGCAGCAGCCCATTCAACCCACCGCCGCCGCCGGCGAAAGCCAAGGCAAGCGGGCTGCCCCTCCCGAGCAACGCGCAGTACGAGGACATGCGCACGCTGCGGCAGAAGGAGGTGCTGCTCGCCTCGATCAACAAGAAGTTGAGCGCGCTTGCGGAGGCTCGCGCTGGGGCGGACTACTTTGGCGTCTACTACGGCGGGGCGGATGAGCCGATGGGCGACGAGGAGGGGGGCGAGGAGGAGGAGACGCACAGAGGGGCGACAAGCGCGTCGGCGGCCGCGGCGGCCGCCGCGAGCGCAGCGAGCACGACGGCGAGCGCCGCCGCGACCAACTCAGAGATCAGGGATGCGGGCGAGTCGCCCGGCGCGCCCGGCGCCGAGGCGGCGCCCGGCGCCGAGGTGGCGGGCGAGGCTGCGGCCGCCACCGAGGCGACGGGCGGGGCGGCGGCAAGCGGAGCGGCGGGCGAGGCGGCGGGCGAGGCGGCGGGCGAGGCGGCGGGTGAGGAGATGAGCGGCACGTCGAGTGGCGCGGCGGCTGAGCGTGCAAATGAGGCGGCCACGGGGCAGGCGACAGGCGAGGTGGTACGGGACGCGGCGGGCGAGGGAGCGGCGGAGGAGGTGGGCGAGGCGGCAGGCGAGGCGGCGGACAAGGCAGCAGACCTGTCATGGGCCGATGTGTGCGCGCCGACCGAAGAGGAGGTGCATTTGTTCAAGATGAAGAATGAGCTGATGCTGGACATTGGGCGGCTGCGGCTCTCGCTGAGCGGACTGGACGTGCCGCGACTCAACGATGCCGTCTTAGAGGGCGAGGGCAGCATCCCGCACTTTGCAGAGGTCGCGGACGTGCTCGACAAGATCGAGTCGCAGAGCGGCGGCAAGGTAGCGGCGCTGGTGACGACTTTCGGCGACAAGCTCACGGAGGGTGCCGTGAAGCTGGTCGAGCTAGTAGTCGCTCCCGCCATGAAGGAGCTGTCGCGGCACGCGGTCCCCGCGCTGAGAGAGGTACCCGAGTCGCTGGTGCAGCTAGTGCTCTGGCACCGGTACCCTGGCGCTCGAGACTTCTTGGCCGCATCCACCAAGCAGCTCAAGGCCGCGCCGGGTTGGAGCGAGGAGAAGACTGCAGCTCACCGCGAGTACCTTGGGAAGCTCCAGCTCGAGCGAGAGTTCAACTCGGTGGTCGAGACGTGCCACTTTTCAGGCGATGGCCGCCGGATTGAGTGTGCGCGCGGCGCTGAGTGCAAGCGGGCCAAGCGGCAGGGCAAGCTCGGCGCCTTCAGCCTCGTCTGCCCAGGTAGCAAGCCCAGCGATTCCGATCACGTTTGGAGTGTGCGCAACTGGCGGCAGCCCAGCTCCAGGTCCAAGTCGGCCCAGACGTCGGGCGGGAAGGGCGGGAAGGGCGGCTGCACGTTCGAGTGCTTCCCCTACCTTGTCGACGGCTTCGATCCCGCCGCTGCTCCCCCCGCCACCGTGTCCACGGCCGGCAGCATGGACGCGTTTGCGTCTGTGGTGCCGGTCGCGACTGCGGCCCTCTCCATTTCGTCACAGCAGGAGGAGATGCAGGCCGAGCTCACTCGCTTGAAGCCGCTCGACTGTAAGTCGCTCGTCGCCGACTTCGTGCGCGAGTACGGATTTGACGGCCCAGAGGCGGGGACGGTGAGCAAGGCAAAGCTCAACGCGGCTGTCTCCGCCATCGACGACCTCGCGCGCTCTTCAGGCATTGCCAAGGCGGTGCTACCGAGTGGCGTCTGCGAGACCCACTCCAAGTCGCCTGCCTGCCCACCCGATTGCAAGGCTGTCATTCTCCGCGACTGGCGCTGCAAGCTGTCAGCTGCAATCAAGGCGCTAGCCAAGCCCGCCGCCCCCAAGAGGAAGAGGCGGTAGCAAGCCACTCGAGACTCGGCCGTGTATCAGACATGACCTCGTTCACTCTTATTATGTAAACACCCGAACTCTATAGTGTCACGTAACAACCAGTTTGTCTTGCTCCTATAGCCTATGGGGTCAACACTTGAGCACTTTGACTTGGACCTGTTCTCCGCCTTCCCAGAGGAGGCCGTCTTGTACGCGCTCTACAGGCAGACCGGAGCGCTGCCTGATGACCACGTGATGGTCGACATCCTTCGATCGACGATGCTCGGGGCAACTGGCTTTGATCTGCGGGGTCAGTCGTCTGAGAGCTGGGAAATCTTGCAACAGGCGCTCCTGCACCACGGAGGTGAGCGGATCACCAACCTGCTCGTTGGCCCAGGGTACCATGGCGCAGGCTCCGATTGGGCCTCCAACTTCCTCTCGCCGGAGCAATTCTTTCAGCGCTTCAACATCTATGGTCGTCGCAAGCAGGCTCTACGTGCTGATGTGAAGCCCAATCTCGGACAAGGGGCCGTTCTCCACGACCTTCTCCGCTGCGATGCCGTCCTCGAGGGCATCGACGCATTGGCAGTGAAGGGCCCGCTCTCCCGCGTTACGCTGCTCTCGCTCGCGACCGACGCTATGAGCTTGGCACCTGCGCTGCTAAACTCTGTGGCCACACTCCAATCAGTTGGTGGAAAGGATGGCCCGCTCACCCTTCAGCAGCTCAACGCACTACCACCAGATGCCAGCATCGAGCTCAACACCTCCATGATGGAGTTCCACCTCTGCTCACTCAGCAATGGCCAAGGTTCACGGCAGTTTGACATGCCCGTGGGTCAGTGGGCATGCTCGAGTGGCGGCGGGCTCGCAGTTGCAAAGGCACGCCACGAAACTGTGTATCCTGACCTCATGGCGTGCACCGAATGCATCAAGCGAGCGGCGGCGACCGGTGCCAAGATCGTGTGCCAACCGACGTGCCCGTGGGACACGTGCAACTTTGCGAGCGGTGTTGTCTGCGACAAGTGCAAGGCGGTGGGTGTGACGAGCACCAAGCCGCTCGCTCGCCCGTGCTCAAGCTGCGTGCGCTTGATTGAGCGCGGAGGGTTGCCGAAAAATTGCCGCGTTTGCTTCCGTCGCTGCGCCGTCTTCCTCGCCTCCGACTGCGAGTCGCGCGAGCTCGCACTGATGCAACAGCGCGATCTCGCTTGCTGCCCTGGCGTACTCACTCGCGGCGTGCCCGACATCGTGCACCTGCTAAAGTCCATCCGCTCGGCAATGTACTGGTGGTGGCTCTGCTTCCAGGGCCACCTGGTCTGCCTCCGACTGCTCATGGTCCTGCGTGCCTCTTCGGACGCAGCCCTGCACTCGGCGCTGATGGCAGCAGTGCACGCTGCAACGCTGCGCAACAAGGATCCAGATGTAGCCGAGATCGCCCAGATCTCGTCGAGATCTCGCCGAGATGTAGCCGAGATCTCGTCGAGATCTAGCCGAGATCTAGCAGAGATCTAGCCGAGATATCGCCGAGATCTAACTGAGGTCTAATTCAGCTCTAGTCGCTCCCCCCTCTCCGACCTGGCCTGTAATGTGAGATATAGGATCGAATGGACTTTTCGACCGTTGTCGAGCTCCTCTCCTTCGCCGTCCTCGAGGCCCTGCCCGTTGCAGCTGCGGTTGTCGTGACGCTCTTCCCGGAGCGATGGACGCGGCTGACACGTGACTGCCCCAGCTCCTCGATCACGGTCATTGCTGACTGCTGCGTGTACGAGAAGAACAACGTCGTCTTCGTCAGCGACGTGAAGAAGCGCGCCATCGTAGCGGTGCAGTTGCATTGCCCCGTCGTCACCTCACTCGTGGCCGGAGGTGGCGAGGCGGTTGCAGGGCAGCCGGGCTTTGGGAAGGGCGCGGGCTTCACCGCTCCGGCAGGGCTGGTCGTCGGCAATCTGTGGCTGGGCGGTGGCAAGGGCAGAGGCGCGCAGCAGTGGTGGAGCCCTTATGTTTTCGCCGCCGATACCGGCAGCGGGTCCATCGTGGCCATCGATGTCGGGCCGTGTTTGCAGCAGCAGATGCGGGTCGTGGATGGCGATGCCGATGTCGCGGGCTTCGAGAAGCAGGCTGTACGGCCCGGCGACGCCCCACCCGCATCTCGGCGCAATCGGCTCGCCTACTCGTCCACAATAAACCTCTCCTTTGCCGACGGCGCCACGATGACAAAGCCATTTGCAATGTGCTTCGGCGCCGACACCGGCACCAAGGACTTTGATAAGGTGAAGCTGTACGTCACGGACATCGCAAAGGAGACCCCGTCGGTGGTTTTTGTGGATGCCAAGAACACCAAGTTCAACAACCGTGAGGAGCGGCCTGCATTTACCGCCACGGTCAGTCGTGTGGTGGCGCTGCCAGCCGGCTCTGAGCCGCGCGCTATCGCGTGCCACCGTGCTACCAACCGGCTGTTTGTAGGGGATGCACGGAGCCCTCTCATCTCCGTGATCGACCCGAAGCCAAGGCCAGGTCAGATCCTGCAGTCGGTAAATGCCGCAGTCAGTCCGCTAGGAGCAGGCCCATCGGGAGCAGGCCCATGGGCCGAGCAGGGGGTGTGGGGCCTCGCGGTGCGTGCCGACGGCTTGCAGCTCGCGGCGACGCTCTGGCCGAACAGCATCATCACGATGGATCTTCATGTTGACCAGACGTCAGAGCTCGTCGTTGGGGCACCTCATTCGCTGCTCTCGGCCGACCAGGGCAGCCAAGGCACGCAGCACGATGATCTCGCACGGCTGGCGACGACCTCTCGCCCTCGCGGACTGGCGTTCCACGGCAACAGCCTCATTTTTGCAGATGCAGCGAACGGAGTTCGCCTCGTCACCAGCTCGGGACCCTTGCGTAGCCTGCTCCAGATGTTTGCACCACTCGCCGCGTCGATCGGATACCTGCCGCAGTGTGCTACACTGAGCTGGACGGAGGGTGAGGCGGCCCTCGAGTCTATCATGGTGCAGGTGCGCGACTGGGAGGCGGAGGCGATGCGGCGCACAGGCAAGACCAGTCCAGGCGCAATGCAGGGGCCGCAGGGGATGATCTCTGGCTCTGTGCGAAGAGCTCTCGGCTTGCTGCTCTCGAGCGTGCAAGAGGTGCGTGCGTGGCTCAAGAGTGACTACAACATCGACCTGCACGAGGAAGGCGTCACGTTTGACCGGCTGCTAACCTTGTGCTGTGAGAACTTCTTCTCGAAGGTCCGCTGTGGTCCGACAGGCAGCTCGGCGACGCCAATGGAGCTTGAGTACCGAGAGCGCCGCGCTGCGCTCATCGCCGCCCTCCTGCGCGAGAGGTTCAGCCACGGTGCAGTCCAGCTCTTCACGTCGGCCAGCAGCTACTACCCCGAGCCACCAGGGCTGGTGGCTCTCGCCCCTCCGTGCCCTCCCCCCTCATTGCGTCCAGCCCATCTCTCACCACTGCCCCGTGCCCGTTATAGCGAGTGCACATCGAGGAGATGATGAAGCTGATCCCTGACCCTGTCGAGGACCCGGCACGTGTCCGAGCGCGGGGCCTTGGGAGAGCCGAGTGGGGCGCCGAGCTGCGTGGGCTGAACGACAAACGCGCGATCCTCTCAGGGCAGAAGACGCGGCAGCAGGCAGTGCGCGCTCGCACGATGGACGTGCCAGGCACAGGGCCATCAGAGCAGATCAACCGCCCACCGCAGCCCATCGCGGCCGAGGAGCGCTCACTGCTCGACCTTCTCCAGGACACCTCTGTAATTATCCCCGGCCGGCAGAGTGCGCAGCAGCACGTGCAGCTCGAGCTGCGCAGCGGTGGGTTTGTCGCAGTCCTGTCAAAGGAGGAGGAGGGGCGCTCAGCTTGGGACACAGGTGATCTGATGCGCAAAACATTCATCGCGGAGAACGTGGACGATGTGTTCAAGACGGCCAGCGGCTCATGGCAGGAGGAGACCTTTGAGGTGCGGTGGCTCTTGAACGACAATGCCGAGGACCCGAGTGTGTACTCTCACGAGCGCGATGAGGATGGCAATGTGGCTGGGGAGAACGTGCCCTGCGACTCGATACTCTGTCCCGTCGAGCTCGAGAAGATGGACGAGAGTGCCGGGCACCCCATCTGGCGGCTGCCTGACGAGACGCTCGTCAGGCTGCGGCGACTACATGAGGACGCCCTCGAGCAGAGCGCCGAGGAGCGTCTCGCCCATGAGGCCAGGCAGCTGCAGCAGCTTGAGATGGAGCGTGAGGCACGGCGCGGGGCGGAGGCCACTCGAACTGTCGAGCCCAGCAACAGCAGCTCGGGCCGCCGCCGCACCGTGTCTCAATACCAGCTGGAGGAGCGTGCGCGAAAGCGCGGTCGTGGTTAGAACACTCACCAGTCAGTGCGCTCGTTTGAGTGCTAGTAGTGCATGAGCAAGCTTATGCGCGAAATATCGACACATGTTGTTGGCCGCACAATCCTACAGTCGTACGGACGTACTTTGTCATTGGAGTTTTTGGCCTCCTGTCTCAAAGCGAGGCACTCTTGCCGGCGGGCCGCCTCTGCCTGCGCCGCCAAATTGCGCTGCTCGGCCTGTGCGTGCGCCATCCTCGCATCGAGCTCGGCCTTCTCGCTCGTCCTCTGCTCGTGCCGCTGCTCCCGCCGGCGAGCCGCCTTCCTCGCTAAGGCCGCTTTGCGGTCAGCATTGTCGTCGAGCGTGCCATCCTACGGAGAGGAAAATGCCGGCTCACTGGAGTGTGAAGCCTCGCTGTGGCCCACGGCGGCGCTGCACCGTGCGAGCGTGCGGGACTTCAGAGCCCTCCGGAGGATCGTCAAGCGCCTTGCGCTTCGCCCTGAGCGGAGACGCGGGCGCGAGTCTCGGCGCCGCGCTGGGCAACCTGGTGGGGCGAGGCAAGGTGCACTCTTACCGTCTAGACTGACGGCAGGAGTTGCAGAGGAGGAGGAGGGCAGCCCAGGCCGGTGGCTGCAGAAGGAGGCCACAGGCGACAGTCCGACACCCTCGGTGCGAGCTCGCGGTGATGAGCTCGTTTTTTCTTTCTTTCTGCAGTGGTAGGTTTCAAAATAACCCTTCCCGACTGACGGTACGGCGAGCTGTTTTCTCGCTACAGGGTAGCGGTACGGGGCGCCGGAGAGCCTAGCGGTATCGGTACGGCGCGCTCGGTGTGAAGCGGTACGCGGTACGGCCAGATCCCAATACCGCGCCCCCTGGGCCTAGTATATGCGCCGCTTCCTCCACACGGCGCGCCGCTACTCGCAGCCTGCGCTCCCGTCCCTCGCACCGCGCTCTGCCTTGGTCGAGCCGTCGGATCTTGATGCGCTGGCCGCGCTCGTGCAGAGCGCCGAGCGCCTGCTGCTTCTCACCGGCGCCGGCCTGTCCACCACCTCCGGCATTCCCGACTACCGCTCGCCCAACGGTTCGTACTCCAAGGGCCACGTCCCCATTCAGCACAGGGAGTTTGTCTCTGATCAGAGCAAGCGGCGCCGCTACTGGGCGCGGTCCTACGTCGGATACGGCTACTTTTCGCGGGCTCGGCCAAACGCGGCTCACTTTGCCGTCTCCGCGCTGCAGGAGAGGGGGCTGCTGCGGGGAGGCATCATCACACAGAACGTCGACGGCCTGCACAGCGCGGCGGGCGCGAGCGGCGTGTTGGACCTGCACGGCCGCATCGACGAGGTGGAGTGCCTCAACTGCGGCGCTCTCACGCCGCGGGCCGCGCTGCAGGAGCGGCTCGCCGGGCTCAACGCCGGCTGGCTCGAGCGCGCGGGCGTGGCGGCGGTGGCGCAGGCGGCGATGCGCGCGGACGGCGACGCCGCCCTGAGCGACGAGGCGTGCGCCAGCTTTGTGGTTCCAGAGTGCGGCGCGTGCGGCGGAGGCCCTCTCAAGCCGACCGTCACCTTCTTCGGCGGCACGGTTCCTCCTGCGATCGTGGAGGCGAGCAAGGCCGCTGCCGCCGCTGCCGACGCCGTGCTCGTCGCCGGCAGCAGCGTCGCCACCTTCTCCGCCTTCCGGCTCGTCAAGAGGGTCGCCGAGGACAGGAAGCCGGTCGCGGTGCTCAACATCGGGCCGAGTCGTGCTGATCCGCTCGCCTCGCTCGCCGTCAGCGCCGACGTCGCGACGGTGCTGCCCGCGCTGGTCGGCGGGCTTTACGGCCAGCAGGCCGAGGCGGAGGTGTGGCGATCGGCGGCGGCGGCACGATCTAGGGCGGAGAAGAGCGCGAATAAATAAAAACGAACGCCTCCCCTAACAGTGAGACACATCTACTAGGACTACTACTAGCCACGTGCGGGGTTTCTTAAGCGTGGACAGGGCGTCACGGACTCGGTCAGGTGCGTCTTCGAAGCAGCTACGGGTTTTTCTTTCCCCGCGGCACGCCACAACGACGACTTGACACAGCGCGAGAGAGCACAGCCAGAGGCCAGAGCGCAGAGCCCTCGGAGTGGCGAGTGCTGAGAGCTAGCCCCTGGGAGAGGATTCAGAGTGCGACGGTGTATCATTCACTTTATGCCACCGTTGCATATCCGGATATGCAACGGTGGCATAAAGTGAATGATACACCGTCGCACAGAGCGATTACCCTTTACCGCGCGTCTAGCAGTCGATGCACACCATATACGGGTTAGCAGGCTAACTTGTGTAACTAGCACGCGCACACATAGCAAGGACATAGCACACTGCCGACATCCACATCGCGATACATGGGCGGCCTCGATGGCACGCTCGAGAGCGGGGCCGGGGGCGCGCACTGTGTGGAACGCGCTTGCGGATGCGCGCCCCAAAATGTCCGCCTCAAAAAGGCCTCGTTCTCGCCCCTTTCCTGTACGCGTGGGTCTCAGAGGACGAATGCGCACCGGACCTTCGAGGACATCAAAGTCGGCTGCGCCCTACGGCCATCCAGCCGGCTCTCGAGTGTCGCAGCGCGACGCGCTTCACCCCTCGACTCCGCGCTGCGAGTCGATTGGGAGACGACGCTCGGCCACCGCCAACTCCACCCTGACGCGTCGCACATGCGCCGAGTGTCCCCCCCGAGGGTGTCCTTGTATAGTATGCTTGGTTGCGAGTTAAAAAAAGCCCGTTCCGCACCCGCACCCAGCACCAGTACACATGCCGTTCTGGTGCCCCTCGGCTGGCCAGAGGACGACTCACAATGCAAAATCGGAAAGACGTCACGAGGGGCCGTATAAACGGTACCGCAGCGGCCCGGGACACTAACAGTGAATTGCTGCCACTCGCCCGGCCTCCTCCCCCTCGGGGTCGCCCGGAAAGTGGGCTTGCGCACCGGCGCCCCCCCCAGCACGCCGACCCGAGGTGTACCCTCCGGCCACCTGGGAGGGGAGCGTTCTCCCTTTTTGGCCCATTGGCTTCATCATGATGGATACGGAGGTGGCCAGCCCTTGGTTGTGCACCTGCGGCGCGAAGAGGAGGTGATCTCGGCGGACGACGGCCGTGCCAAGAGCGGGTGCAGCGCGGAAGAGGGTGCGCAGCGCGTCGCGGCCGCGCGCTTGGGAGCCGGGGGGATGGCCGGAGGGGGTGGGACGCCTGCATGTCCTCGAAGCTCCCACCCGCATACGCAAGCCGAGCCGCGAACGGCGGGGAGGGAGTTTTGGAGGGTCAGCCAAGGACGCGCATGGCGAGTGACAAATAGAGGCGACTTCGCTCTACACCGGTTTGCCATCGTGCGGGGCGCTCCGAGGCTTTGACCTTTGAGAAGATATGTATCAGTAGTAGGGACCTGCACGCCCTCGATGAGCAAGGCTCCGATCCACATGTATGACAGGCAGACAGACAGACAGACAGACAGACAGACAGAGACACAGTACGGGGAGTTTCCATCATGCACTAGAGGCTCTCGGTCGGTGCAGACCCCGCCGCGGGGTCAGCCCCCGGCGCCTGGCCTGCACCGGCAGACCCCGCGGGCTCCTCGGCCGCCGGCGCAGCCGGTGGTGCAGGCGCCTCCGCGGCCCGGCGAGCGGTGCGCTGGCCAAGAAGCCCCTTGAGGAGGCCGGCCAGCCGCTCGCTTTGGCCGCCGCGCGGCGCCGTGCCGCCGATCCCGAGCAGCGTGGACGCCGCTTCGCGCTTGGTGTGCCCCCGCTCGTAGATCACCTCGTCAAAGGTCGAGGAGGCCAGCAGGTAGCTGATCGCCACCGGCCGCGTCTGGCCGATCCGGTGCATCCGGTCCTCGCACTGGCGGTGCACGAACGGGTTCCACCACACGTCGAGGAAGAAGCCGTGGCAAGCCTCCGCAATGTTGAGCCCGACGCTGCCGGCACTCAGGCACAGCAGGAGGACGCGAATCTCGGGCCGCGACTTGAACGTCGCCAGCTGCTCCGAGCGCTCCGCCGGCGGGTCGTCGCCGTCGAAGCGGCAGCAGCGCACGCCGTCCTCGCTCAGCATCGCTTCCACGAGGTCGAGCCCGCCCTTGAAGTTGGAGTAGACGATAGACTTCTCCGCAGAAGGGACCGCGGCCAGCTGCCGCCGCAGCGCAATCAACTTGGTGCTGAGCCGCAAGCCGCCAAACGGCACGCCGTTGGCATCGGCGACCTCCGAGCAGATGAGCGTCCCCTCCGGGCCGCCGCCGTCCTCGCCGGTGCCGCCGCCGTCCTCGCCGGTGCCGCCGTCCTCGCCGGTGCCGCCGTCCTCGCCGGTGGCGCCGTCCTCGCCGTTGGCGCCGTCCTCGCCATCCGACTCGCCGCCTCCGGCGCTCACTTTCAGCATCCTCCGCTGCAGGCGGCACCGCGGGCAGGCCGGGTAGGCTGGCGACGCGAGGACCTCCGCCGCGCAGCAAGCGTGCACCCAGTGCGGCTCCGCTGCGCCGCACGCCGTGCGCGGGAGCTGCACCAGGTTCTGCGCGGGAAAATCGTTCGTGCACTTGCCGCACGAGCACGCGTCGGGCGGGCCGCGAGGCCGCCCAGACCCCACCGGCGCCCCACCGTCGACCGCAGCCACCCGCAGGGCAGGCTCAGCCGCCAGCCCGTCCTCCTCCTCCGCCTCCTCTTGCTCCTCCTCCGCCTCCGCCTCCTCACCCTCGTCGCTATCATCGCTGTCCTCGCCGTCGCCGTCGCGCACAATGAAGCCATCGAGGTCGTCATCGTCGTCATCGTCCTCCTCCTCCTCGTCGTCCAGCGCGTCGCCGTCCCCGGCCTCGTCCGCCTCGTCCTCCGCGCCGGCGCCCATCCCCCCGAAGCTCGGGTTGCAGCACACGCACACCGCCTTGGCCGCCTTGAGGTCGGACGGGCGAGCGGCACGGCTCGGCGCGAAGAGCTTGGTCACCTACTCGGCAAGAGGCGGAGGGAGCTTTGAGGGGACGGCGACAGGGTGGGCGGAAGCAGAGAGGGCGGCCGGCAGAGCGGGCGGCCGGCAGGTGGAGGCGGCGCGGGCCGCGGCGCAGTCACCTCCCTCCCCTTGCCGCCGAGCGCGGGGTGGATCAGCACCATGCGTGCCTCCTGCGCGAGGCCCATGCAGCGCTTCTGGAGCCGCATCAGGTCGCGCCGCTTCCTCGCCGCCGCCGCCTTCCCGCTCGCCTTGCGCTTCATCACCGTGACGAGGTTTCGGAGCGACTTGATCAGCACCTCCTCCACCGGCGAGTAGAGCTGCCGCTCCGGCCCCGAGGGGAGCACCGCCTCCTCGCTCACGCTCTTCGGCGGGAGCGCCGTCGCCAGCACGCTCTTGTCGCGCATGAGCAGGTGCAGGGCCAGCCACGCTCGGTGCTCCTCCTTCATCGTCCCGCTGCCCTCGAGCGCGTCCCGCGCCTCCCGCCAAAAGGCGGGGGCGGAGGCGGCCGCCCCCGGCTCGATGAAGGAGGAGAGGGTGGCGAGATCCCCTTCCCGGTTGTTGTACGGAGTCCCCGTCGCGAGCACGACGCGGCGCGCGTGCTGCCCCATGAGCGCCGCGGCCATCGCCCAGAAGGAGAAGGGGTTGCGCAGCTCGTGCGCCTCGTCGAGCACAAACGTGAGCCAACAGCGCTGCGAAGGCGCGAAGGCAGCGCCCTCCTGCGCAAGCCGCCGCGCCAGCTTGACCGGATCGCACGTGCCGTACCGCGACCGCCCCTTGGCCTTGCGCCCCTTGTCCGCCTCGTACGCGGCCTGCAGAGCTCGCGCGCAAGCCGCAGTCGCCGACGGCATCAGCGGCGAGGGCACCGGCGGCAGCTCGGCCGCCCCGCCCGCTGTGCCCGCCGCCGCCGCCGCCGTGGATGCGCGCTGCCGCCACCCGCCCGCCCCCGCCGCCCTCGGGCCGAGCGGCACTGCGTCGGCGGCCGTGCCGGCGGGCGGGTCCGCCTTGAGGTGGCTGAAGACGGCGCGCTGGTCCGCCTGCAGCTTCCACTTGTGCAGCAGGACCAGGCGCGGGTAGGGGGAGCGGCCGCGCAGCGCTGGCGCGCGCAGCGCACGCGGCGAGAAGTCGCCGGTGTAGACGAGCACCTCGCCCTCGCCGAAGCCCGACTGCTGCAGGCTGTCGCGCCACTGGGACAGCACCGCCTCGGTCGGCGCCACGACCACCGTCGACAGCGCGGCCAGGTCCTCCCCCCGCCGCGCAGCGAGGAACTCGCGGACGACGATCGCGCCGATGGCGGAGAAAGTCTTGCCGAGGCCCATGTCGTCGCCGAGCACCACCCCGCGTCCCACCGCTGCACGCGGCGGAGGCGGGCCCCCCTCCCCCAGCTCCTCCTCCTCCTCCACCTCCTCCTCCGGCGGGTAGTGCGTGGGCCACCCCGGCGGCACCCCCGCGCAGAAGCGGACGGCTTCGATCTGGTGCGCGTGGGCGGTCCACCGGCAGCCGAGAGCCCACAGGAGCCGTTGCAGCGGCACGTCCTCCGGCTTGAGCTTCTGCAGCGCCTCGCGCCGCCCCTCTGGGATGGGGTCTGCGGGGCGGGCGGGGCGGGCGGGTGAGCAGGGGGTGGGGCGGCGGGGCAGGGACGGGAGGGGGCGCAGCTGGGAGCACCGTCAGCCGACATAGGCGGCACGACTAGCCGGCTGCCGCGGCGGGCCGCTGGCGCGCGGCCGGCTCCTGCGGGGACGAAGCGTCCCCAGCCGCCCGGCGGCGGCGCGTCGAGGCTGCGCCTCCTCTCCGCCTCCTCGAGCGCCTGCGCGCGCTGCCGTCCGGTGTAGAGGTGCGGGAAGACGCCGCAGTGG